TTGTGGAGTGAGCTTGAATGTATCACAACATCTGCTGGCTGATCAAGATGCTGCTGCTGGAAATGTCAGCTTTTCCCCAGGACGCCACATTATTTTCACTGACCCTGCTAGTGTGACAACCTTCAGAAGGCAGATGGTGGTTACAACACCTTTGTTCCTCTCCAACAGCCCTGGTTTATCACCTACTGCATCAAGCAGCTCAACTTCTCCATACAAACAGGGACAGTGGCATCACCAGTGACAGTCAAGATGGGAAGGCTACACAGCAAGTGGCAGGGGAGTAGCGGGTGGTAGGAGACGTGCCTTCCCTTCCCCCAGTCCAGTGGAAACTATGATGGAATACATAGTGGCATTCTTACATGAAGAAAGACAAAGGCAAGGCTGACTCAGTAATGATATGAGAGGACAATCCCATACGTGAAGTTAACTGTCTGAAGTGACACCCCTGCTGAATTCTCTTTCCCATGTGGACTATCAAAGGATTTCACAGTGCATTTTAGTACCACAATGCACACAGATGATGTCACTCCAATGGACAAGTGTCCCTTCACTCCTACAGTTATATCTTACCCATGACATTAGACTTTTAAACCTATGAAATCTGTCATATGTTTATACTAATTAACCGCTACTAACCTTTCTCCTCCTGTTGTCTTTTTCGTCAGTACTTTGGGTATTAGTATTTGGTGATGTATTTAAATACTGAAGATGGCATGGAATGTTTCTGTGCAACTGAACCATGCATTTTATTTAACTTTTTAACCATTTGGCTCATCAATTTTTCCCCCTATTCAGGTCCAGTTCACAAGCAATTACGATAAGTTTACAATCAAGCAAAGGTGGTTGAATTTAAAAAACTATTTTATAAATTAAATTAATTATGTGATAAAGCAATCAACCTTTGTTAATGAATTGAATAAAATCAATGTGACTGTTACAAGAATCATTGATAATTGCTGCTTCTGTTTCTACAGTACTAACAAATGGGAGAACAAACTAATTAATAGATCAGGAGTTGCTTAAATCAAAAGTTGTATGGCTTTGCGTGATGAAAGATCAAGAAATTCCAAGATTTGACAATTAATTTGAAATTTGTCAAACACTATTAAAGTTTGTCAGAAAAAAACATCATATCACAGAAATAAACTAATTTAATGATTTCTTCTGATTTAGTAACAAATGCAGTGGAGAATCTGATGCAATTCCCATCAAAGTCAGTAAATTTATTGTCAAGGAGAATGACCACTCCAGTGTGTTGTGACAAGACATATGTGTGGTCAGGGCCTACCTACGTAATGGGGTTTAATACCAATTAAGTGGAACAAAGGGATGAATCAATGTGAAGAATACAGTGAAACTCTGATAACCTGCCCTGGGATAAGTCGTCAACAACAACAACAATAAATTGCATTTGCATAGCGCCTTTCCCGTCGGGAGGATGTCCCAACCACATAGCTTGTCACTTGCTCAATATCCTGGCTATTTCCCATAAGAAATGTTAATTATGATCCGCTAATAACTAGTTACTCTGGATGTCTTGTAACTCTTAAGGTTTTCGCACTTTATCAAATGGTGTTTCTGTGTAAAATATCTCTGATAACTCACCAATGGACAAAGCAAATCTTTGCATGAAGTGTTCTCTATAAGTTGTTGTTACTTGGGTCCAACGTGGACTAATTGCTAAAAGTAATCATCTTCTCATTATTTGTTGGTAACGGGATTTCTCTTCATAAATAAGGAATGAAAGATCAAAGTTTATAGCAATTGCACTAAGGCAATTCCAGGCAGGGCGAAACCTTGGGCAAGTTTCCTTACTCCACACGCCTAATAATAATCCCTCCAAAACAAAAAACAATAATAAATTGGCCATTTTCAATCTATGACTGTCTATGGGACATTGCTGTGTGCAATTGGCTGCCGCGTTCGCCCACAAATATACAGTCAATTCACTTTACAGTGTGTTCTGTGAAGCGCTTTGGGACGTCCTCCCGACGTGAAAAGCGCTATATCAATTATAGGATTATTATTATTATTATTAAAATAGACCTTCTAAAATGATTTCAGGAGAGTGAAGAATCCTTGAAATTTTACAATATCAAATGCAAGGATTATTATTATTATTTGTTTACCCTCTTCTTCGATTACTTATGTTATGCAACATTACTGTTCCAAGAGGAGATGTCAGCTGATCCCAACTACAATTTGCATTTATATAGCACCCTTCATGTGGGGTAGTGCTTTGGAGTGGTATAGTTTGATGTCTAATTGGAGGGCAAGTGAGAGGTGACCTTACGCAATCGTCCAAGAAGAAAGTCTTCAGATGCAATTTGAAGGCAAGTAAAGAAAGGGCAAGGCAGAGGGTTTGAGGCAGGAAGTTCGGGGTAAACTATTTCCCAATAGAGATATTACTAGTACTACCCAAATGTACAAATGTGCATTCCACTTTGGAAAGTTTTTAACTTTACTCTTTCTCTGTCTCTCTTTTTCTCTCTCCCTTGTCTCTCTTTCCCCAGCATGTCCACTTCTAATGTTCTCATGCACTGGTTGAGAGTAGGACTCAAGGAATTTTGTAATTCCAGTTACCCTATGTCTGATAATGAACAACAACACAAATTAAACTAAGCAAAGATTTTGGTGACATAAGCTGATTTTGGTCTGATATTGCTTATTCTGATGCTAGTTCCTGTGAAACATAATGTGATAATATAATTTGTCATTTTTCTGTTTTCTGCACAACACAGGACAATCTTTACTCATAATTTCATAATTTAGTTCAAACTTCTCGTCCTCATCTTCAAGGCCCTCCACGGCCTTGCCCCCACCTACCTCTCTGACCTGCTAACTCCTTATCAACCTGTTCGCTGCCTCTGCTCAGCAGGCTCTGGCCTGCTCCACGTCCCCCACCCGGCCCACCTCACCACCAGCGGTCGGGCCTTCAACTTCTCTGCCCCCGCCCTTTAGAGCTCCATCCCACATTCCCTTCACCTCACTCCCTTCCTAGGCTCCTTCAAAGCATGCCTGAAGGCCCTCCTCTTCGACCATGCCTTCAGACACCTTCCCACCCACTCTGCCCTACCTGATTCCAACTCCCCCATGCTCTGGTCCTAATCCCTGACTGTTCAGCACCTTAGGACGTCCTCCTGACGTGAAAAGTGCTTTACAACTGTAATTTGTATTGTAAATTTCCCTGTTAATAAGGTTCTGCAACATGAATCACGGCTGCAATCTCCATACTCTGGTTTATGTACAAAACCCCATCCTCAATGGGTTACATAATAATTTATTTCTTTATATAAAGCTGGGCACTATAAAGAGTCAACTTCAAGAGGACTTTCTGTTTTCTAAGTCAGAAATTCCTATGTGTAAATAGACCAACCAGAGGCAGCAAAGGTGGAGTGGCTACACGAGCACTCCAATTTTCAGAATAATTAGATCTTTGAGAGTAAGTCACATCTTTGAAGCAACAAAATAGGCAGGTTATAAAGTTTCAAAGTGGCAAAACTGGGGGGAAAACCCTGTAGAAAACTAATTTCTATACGAAAATAATATTTTCCGATTGTCAGTAAATTGATCAATCTTAGGATTTTTTTTCCATTGTATTCCAAATGCTGGCAGGCTCAATTAAGTTAATTACCAAGGAAAATCCTTTAGTAAACACTACTATGAAAGCACTTTCAACGGATTCATTTGCTCCCTTCTCTGCCTACTTCCTCTTCTATCCCCCACGCATATTGGCTTTGTTTACATGTATTACCATCTTGAAGATAAACATTGTCATTTTGATGGGAGACAGTCTGGAAAAGACTGCAGTGACATTATGCACAAGCAACGTAAATACACCATAAAGATACTATTGCAGCATAAATTAGGTCATTGCATTGCACAGCTGGACACAGTGGGAAAGCTTGACCAAGAACAAAGCAAGAGTAGGGACATGTCTTTAAAAGGAAACAGCACAAGCAACAACAAATTACATTTGTATAGTGCCTTTCAAATTGCGATGACTTCTCAAGGCACTGCAAAGCATAACATGCCTAGCATGAAGCAAATTGTAGTAGTTTTTCTTTTAAACAATTGATTCACACCTTTAAATACTTAAAAATACCTTTTCAAAATTTACGACAGAAATTCGGAAGGAAATTTATCATTTGCTCAGAAGAAAAACAAAAAAAATGTGATTATTAATGTCAACGCATCATATTTATAAACCACTCAGAAAATATAATGGAAAGTTTTATCAATTCTTGAATCCATTAATTTGAATTTATATTAAACTTAAAACTGTTGCATGTTAATGCAAAGTCAATAGTTACTTTACTGAGAAATAATGTCCTTGTTCTGCGCCTAAATCGGTAAGCAATTATGCTAAATATTATTTATTAATGCACCTTGTTGACCAATACTATTTTCATTAAATACTCAGCATAATTGTGCAGTGCTTTATCACAATGATAATAACATTTCCAAGCTCCACAAATCCACTTTCAATTGAACACCATATACAGTATCAAAACCTGCCTGAGCAATCCAAGCTGGTGAATTTACTAAGAAGCAACAACACCAATAAACAGATTTCTCAAAAGGAATGCAATAGAACACAATACTAGTCAATGCTGATTTTTTTGACAGGATGACTGTACCTTCCTTCATTGTACATTCCAGCAAAGGACACTGAAGCTTTGCAACCAGTTATGGAAGGCAAAATATGTATGTTTCAAAATCTTACTTTTACTGTGCAGTGAGCATCAATTCAATGCAGCATCAACATTGAATGGGTACTGAACTTTTGGTATACATACAGTTTGGGGAGCATTAACTTGATTCCAAGACCAATCCAAAATGTTGCTGAATTTATTTTGATCCAAGGAAATTTCAGATATTTCTTGAATGGCACAGTTTCAAATATCAAGGACCATTGTGTAGACTCAGATTCAACTTTAGGTTGACAAAGGATGCACGCAAATCAAAAGAAATTATTCAGTTCTCCATTATTTTCTTACCGTCCACACAGGCTGGTTTTGCTCTCGTTGTGCCAGCAATTTGCCCCTTTTTACATGCACACCTAGCTGTTTGTCTGGCTATAGTCCTTCGAGGTTGACTGCTATCTTTGTCCAGGGTGACTATCTCACAAGTACCTGCAGCCAGCTGACCTGGAAAGAGAATAAGCACCAAATGTCAGTGCGTGAGCAGCAGACAATCCATTACACCAGAAAGGAGTCATGAACTGTGTCCCATCATATGCACATGCATGTCAAACAAGACTGATGGAAATATATCTAAAACACATTGATGCATTGCACTGCCAGGAGACAGAATATCTGGTTAACCCTTCAAAGTACTGATTTAACTGTGCAGCTTTGAAATGATATAATTTTCCCCGTCGTAAAGCGTACTTTCATTATGGTATAATAAAACACAAAGTGAATAAGTCAACATTAGTACTGCTGTAACTGAAAAATAATCAAGAGCTTTCTCCAAACAAACACTTAGAAAACAAAATGCTTTATATTTTTGTGTCATAGCAAAGGACATAGGAAACATTCTGTAAAACAACCGCACTTTAACAGGTCTAAAGAAAACACTTCTCCTGCCGCATCCCCAATTTGTTTGAATTTGTTATTTTGTAGGGAATTGCACAGGAGTGGGCAGAAAGAGTAATGCAGCGATGAGATGCTACTGATCCATTTACATTCATTTTCATGTAACCAAAGTACAGCATAATACAAGAAGTGGAAGAGTGTCTGTACATATTTGAAATGAAGTATACTTGACCGTCAATGCCCACATGTCCTTTTCCAGCTACCAAGTCAGGAGAAAAATAGCATTAGCAATTGTTCTGCACCATGTGAGACTCACTATCTCTCTGATGGAATTTCAAAACATGTCCAGGTGGCAAAAGTATACTGAGCCTCATAATGAATAATCTGGTTGTTAAGCAGAAAACTCAAGAGGAAATTGGATGGTAGTATAAGAATATTCTTTCCATTAAGTCTATGGCAACTCTAATTCCATTTCCCTACCATTTCTTCATATCCCTTAATATCCTTTTTTTTTACCAAGTATCTGTATATATATTTTTGAATGCCTCAATTCTGATTCCTGTGGCCTACCCCACAGAGGTCATCTATTTCATATTCCCACAACCATCCATGCAAAGAAATGCATCTGGACTACTAGGGAGACATTCATGTGCATTGTTTGAACTAATTGCAAATGTACGTGCTCACAAGTAGTAGCTGTGCATAAGAGAGTAATGAGGATGATCCCCACTGTTAGAAGAATGAACTATGAGCAATGATTAGATAAACTAGGGCTCTTCGGTCTTGAGAGAAGACAACTCAAAGAAGTCTCATAGAACTGTGTAAAAATTTACATGAGAGTGAAAAAGTAAACCCAGGTCAATACTTTAGGATGCATCAAGACAGTAGAACAAATGACATCATTGGGATACTCTTAAGCATTGTGATGGGTTTCCGTATATGTCAGACACCCGGCTGATCAAATCATAAAAGGCTGATATGAATACGATTTACTGAAATATTCTATTCAAAATATTGAATCATGTGGAGAAAAAAAATCCTCACAGGAGCCAATAAATCATACGCCACTCTTCTGTACGTTAGAAATCCAATAATAATAATAATAATAATCCTTGCATTTGATATAGCGCTTTTCACGTCTTCTAGACATCTCAAAGCACTTCACAGAATAGACTGTAAAGTGAATGACTGTATATTTGTGGGTGAAATGCGGCAGCCAATTACGCACAACAGTGTCCTACAAACAGTCGTAAATTGAAATGACCAATTTATTATTGTTTTTTTTTGAGGGATTATTATCAGGTGCATGGAGTAAGGAAACTTGCCCAAGGTTTCACCCTGCCGGGAATCGAACCCAGGTCTCTCGCTTGCAAAGCAAATGTTCTAACCACTGAGCTACAGGACTCCACAATAAAATCATACAACAAAATTGTAACCCTCTCCCTTTTTTTAATAAACATGTTTGCATGTGCGTGTCAGTTGATTTAGTTAGCTGCAATTAGATTGACATTGTACATAGATGAAAACACAACACCACTGGTTGCTCTACTCAACAAGCAGACATTCTTGTCAACTTACACGGTTTTGAGTGAGCATCAGCCTTTGCCTTTCTCAACTACAGACCTCAAAACATTATTAATTGCTTAATACATTAGCATGATTTTGCAATGTCAAGTATTGGCTTGTTTGTACAAATTCATTAAACTAATTCATTAATTGATATAAAATAATGGGTGAACTGCAGATATGTGGTAAGACCACACCATTGACTTAACTTGCTATTCCATCTCAGGCATTTATTTTGAGCCTGTGTCCCACACAATGGAGAGTAAGATGCTCATTTTCAGATAATTGCCATTAATGCTGAATCACATATGCCCACTGAATCCTTTTTGTAATACGCCTTACATGTTGCACTGTTTTAAAAGAGCAATCATTTCTTTGATTTTAAATGATAAAGTACCTTCTATTATAATAACCATAATAACCACAATATAAATCTCAAAGGTAACATGATTAAAATTACTACTATTACTTATGTATAGCCTGCGAATGTCCAGACTGCAGTCAATATGTTATATATGAAGATTCTCTGTGGCTATAAGATGTGAACAGTTTGAAATTTAATTTTGTCTTTCATGTTTATCAAAGCCAAAGATGATCAAAAGGAGGAACAGGACATTTGTTTTCACATATTGCACCCAAAGGCAGCATTGAGAGCGCATCATCCACCTATGACATTGGCCAGATGTGATTTTGTAGCTTCACAACATTACTCTGTCAATGTACCTCAGCCACTTACTGCTCCAGTTACTGCTCCAGTGTGACTGTTCCACTTTCTGCGTTCACTCCTTTTGCCCTCAGAGCAAGATTACCAACTCGGTGCCAATTAGCAGAAAATTTAAGGTCAGTTTATGCTGTGGGCACATGACCACTGGGAGCTGGACGTCCCAATGTCATTTCACTTCAAAATTTAACAACCATCAGGGAGGGACTATCTTTATTTCATTTCTTTGAACTGAACACAAACCTAAATCCCAGAGGTGAAGTAATAAGTGCTCTGATCTACTGTGCTGTCCAGTTCCTTTGTGTGTCCCAATTTCAGAGTTACACGCCAGGTTACATGGATTTAGATTTATTTAAAGTTTTAAAATAGAATATGCCAGTGATATGGTACATTTGCCATACTATGGAACCATCAAATCTGAGTGTCAGAAAGATTGAACATTTTTAAAGAGGGGGCTCTCCTTTAATATTAATGCTGAATATCGTGTAACAATTGCAAAAACTTCACTTTGGATAACATCTCGGAGCATTTCAACAACCCAATAATGCAGCGTGTTTTAATTGCAAACCAATACTCTAATAATTCAGCAAATTGCAAGTGCATCGTAATGCAACTATATTACACCCGGGTACAAGAAAAATACCTTGAATAATAATAATAATCTTTTCATTTGATATAGTGCCTTATCACATCGTTGAGACAACTCAAAGCATTTTACAGAATATACTGTAAAGTGAATCGACTGTATATTTGTGGGTGAAACGCGGCAGCCAATTGCGGTGTCCCACAAACAGTCGTGGATTGAAGTGACCAATTTATTATTTTTTNCTTGAGGGATTATTATCAGGCATGTGGAGTAAGGAAACTTGCCCAAGGTTTCACCCTGTTAGGAATCAAACCCAGGTCTCTCACTTGAGAGGCGAATGCTCTAACCACTGAGCTACAGGTCTCCACAAATATTCTAAGGAATTCTAAAATAAATATTTAAATATTTTAAAATAAATAAAATTCTAAAATAGGCACAAAAAAATCCCAAAAGTCGATGGACGCACCTCTGATAATTCAGCACTCACTAGACATTTCACTGGACTCACTGGACTGTCAAATATGTAAAGTTCAAGTCCCAGGCAACATCCCCCAATAATCCAACAGAGAGATGAATTTCCTCAATCAGTATCAATTTGATTCTTTAACCACTGAAATTTACATGTACTAAGATGTATGTATGTTATTCTGATGTTCTTGGAATATCTGTAGGCAAGTTACACTTTTTTTATTCAATTCTCTTATGAACAACAAATCAAAATCAAGCATGTGCACAGCTTGAACATTTAAAATAACTTCATTACTTTTTGATTTGCATTTTTAAAAAGTTAGTTTCACAAAGAAAAATATTAATTTAAAAGTGTCTTAAATGTTTACTTATTTGAAGACATCCACAATAATTTAGATTAATGTAAATTAATCAATTAGAATACATCAGAATGCATTAGAATATACAGGCCATTTGGTCCAACTAGAATATGCCGGTGCTTATGCTCCACATGAGCCTCCTCCTGCCCTTCCTCAACTAAGCCTTCAAGCATAACCTTCTATTCCTTTCTCCCTCATGTACCTATCTAGATTCCCCTTGAATACATCTATGCTATTGGCCTCAACAACACCTTGTGGTAGCATGTTCCACATTCCCACTACTCTCTTTGTGAAGAAATTTCTTCTAACTTCCCTATTTGATCTATTTGTGACTATTTGATATTGATGGCCCCTGGTTTTGGTCTTCCCGACAAGTGAAAACATCTTCCCTATGTCTACCTTATCAAAACCTTTCATCATTTTAAAGAAAGAGTCCAAGTATGTTCAGCCTTTCCTGATAGGTATAACTTCTCAGTTCTGGGATCATCAGCTCTACATCCCTTCTATAATATAGAGACCAGAACTGCACACAGTATTCTAAGTGTGGTCTAACAAAGGTTCTATAGAAGTTTACCATGACTTCCCTGCTTTTCATTTCTATCCCTCTAGAAATGAACCCCAATGTCTGGTTTGCTTTTTTATGGCCTTATTAACCTGCGTTGCTACTTTTAGTGAATCGTGTATGTGTACTCCTAAGTCCCTTTGCTCCTCTACCCCATTTAGGTTTTTATTTTCCAGGATTATTCCTTCTACCAAAATGTACCACCTCACACTTTTCTACATTGAAATGCATTTGCCATTTAAATGCCCATTCAGCAAGTTTATTAATGTCTTGCTGTAATTTGTTGCAGTCCTCCTCTGTATTAACTACTCCCCTCAATTTAGTGTCGTCCGCAAATTTTGAAATTGT